GGGGGGGGCCTACAAAATTAAAATTTAATATCAGGTATTGAAATGACAACTAGTTTTCCCCATTTTAAGGGACATCTCCCTATATATTTTGAAATGTGATCAAAGTAATTTTTTTCCACAGTCCTTTGATTAAGTTCTAATATAAAGAATTTGCTAAGTACAAAATAATACTTGACTATGGGTCAAGAAATAAAGGACTAATATAGCTTAAGAACCTGCTGGTGTCTCAACTTCATGTACTTAGGTTTTTCAGGTTTATATCACTAATTTATCACTTTAAATGGATGATTTTAAAAGCTATGAATGTCCAGCTTTCTGTTAAGATCTTCAGATCCTAATTACAACACTAAATCAGCCCATTGCACCCAAACACAAGCCCCTTAAAATAGAGGCTCATGAATGAGATACTGCCACAACCTAATTAGAGCAGCACGAACAATGCCACTATGATGTCCTCACAGAACTTAAATAAATTCAGCCCACAATGGGTATGGGTATATAATATACACATACTGTATCATTGCATACCAATATATTTACAAATATATACATATATATTTATATATATATATATATATATACAAAAAGTACTCAGAGATTGCATTTAGTATCACAAAAATATACACATGCCTTTACAAATAAAATAAGAATTTTAAATAAATAAGATCAACCAAAGAACCCTCAGTGTAAGTACCCCTTCTCTCTCCAAACACACACACACAGAAACATATACACCCAAAATATCATCACCAAGAGACTCATAACACCATTCACATTCATATCAAATCATTTTGCTCACTTAGTGTGGGTGGTGGTTCTGAATTACTGGTAGTGGCCAAGTTTGCAGACATTGGCACTTTACTATATACTGTCCTGTATATTGGGCTGTCCAGAATATTCTCCGTAATACTGGGCTGACAACAAGTTTCTGTGAATAATTACGTACCAGTTGTTGGTTTTGTTTTTTTTTTAATGTAGAAGTCCTCTTTTCATTATTGAAGTAGAAAATCCTGGTAAACCAGGAAAGTACTAGGTTTTTCCATGGAGTCCAAACTACTTCTCAGAGATAGAAAGTAGCTAAGTCACACAAGTCAGAGATTAAGTTAGGAGAAGGATGATAAAAAAAGCTCCGTAACTGATACACAAATCAGATTGGCCGCTTTCCCTAAACTCAATTCAGTACAATCACCTACATCTGTTTCAGGAAATTCTATTGCAAGAAGAAAATAAAGAGCAGTAGCAATAAGTGGGGAAAAAATAAAACCCAGAGCCTGGATCAGGAAAACTTCAGTCCTCACTGGATTGTACTTTGCTTCTGTAAGCTCACAACATTTCAAGCTGGTAAAAATATAAAGGGTGTCATAAATTCTATGTGGTTTGAGAGATCTTAAGAGCACTACTCGCTAGGAGGAAAATACACAAAAGACTGTGTACTGGCTAGATATGAGTTGGAAGCAACTCAGTGGCAACAGGCTTGATCTTTGCACGTTTAAACGCAAAGATAAAATGTCTGACTTTGGGATTTTTAGTAATTAATAAACATAAATTGGCTAGTGCTGATTTTTTCACTGGTTTGAATGCTTGATATATTTTTAAAATACCGTAACGTTTTGTACCACCATATAAATCTCTCTCTCTTTCTTGTCTATTATAGAAAGCATAACCTGAGCTACCAGAAAGACTGGGCTGAGATGAAGGAGATTCAAGTTTTAGTTCTAGCTGTATCCTCTGTAGAACTGGACAGCTCTTTGGGGTCTGTTTTCTCTTCTGTAAAACAGGGAAAATAATTGTTTTATCAACTTCAGAATTATATGGACAAGAGAATAATTAATTCCATTGTGCTTAATTTTGTGTACAGCTGACTTCCTGCAACCTTATACTTTCTGTTTTGTTTATAGTGATTCTCAAGGGAGGAGAGAGACTATCAGAATCTCCAGGGGGAGTTTGTGCAATTTGAAAACAAAGAAGTGCTCTTTTCCCATTGCTTTGTTCTTAGGTCCAATATTTAGATTTCTAGGAATTCTAACAATACATAAATAACTAAGGGATTAAAATTCTTTTATTTATAGAGAGGGTACTGTGCATTTAAAAAATGAAATTCTTTGCCACCGCCATCTTAAGCTCATCGGATGACAGGTTCTTTACCTTTTTGCTTCCTTGATTAAAGTAATGCCTTATAATATAGAAGCTGGTGATGGGCGCATAACGGTTCATTACACCATTATACTCTGGGTATGTTTAAAAACTTTCAAAATAAAAGCTTGGAAAAAAGAAAGAAATATCAAAAGAAGTGTCACCTTCTCAATAAGGTATTCTCAGTGCTGCATGACCACTCTTAAACCACGGCTCTTTCCTCATAACACAAACAACCTAAGTCCCGTACCACACTCTTAACTTTTCCTCATAGCATTTATCAATTTCTAACATAAATTCAGGAGCTCTGGTAGCATAGTGCCTAAGGCACTTGACTGCTAACCAGAAGTCTGGCGGTTCAAACCCACCAGCCACTCCTCGGAAGGTTGGGCAATCCTACTTCCGTAGTGATACTGCCTCGGAAACCCAAGGAGGGGTCGCTATGAGTCGGGGCCGACTCGACGGCATACAACAACAACAACATAAATGCACTTATTTATTGTATTTACTTCCTGACTCCTTTTACTAGAATGTAAGCTTCACAAAGACAGGAAGGATTTTTCTGTCTATTTTGTTCGCTTCCCAAGTGCTCAGAACAAGATCTGGATTTTAGTGGTTGTTAAATACACTTGTTTGTAGAGAAGTAAAGGAAATACTTGTTTATAATTTTCTAGTTTTTTTTTTTCTCTTTGAAGATTCAAGATCACTTTAGATTTTTAACCACCAGTAAGGGATTACACTACTATTACATCAAGAAGTGTCACCATCTAAATCCTAGTTGTGATTTCTAAGACTTGTCCTTGGGCAAACTTAAGAATCACAAAAGGTCTTACTTCTTCAGGAAAGTCTCTCACTGAACTAGTTTCTACAACTAAGTGAACATGCTAAAAACAGGAATTACTTTTTCCCTGTGGTTTAGGTGGGGAAATCAACATCTTTTGGAACCAATTCTATGGAATTGGAAGGGACCTTAGGCCAACCTCCCTCATTACAGATGAGAATGTGAAAAAGCAGAAATATTAAACAGTTGTCAAAGGGCATAAAGCTAGTTACCAAGAAAGCAAGCTCAGGTCTCCTAGTTCTAAGCCCAGTGTTTAGGGCAATAAATAATATTTTAAGCTTCAGAGAACAGGAAAATATGTGTTCTTAGGGCATTACTGTCACAGAACTTTAAGGGATTGAAACCAGAAGCCAGATAATAGCAGACTATCACTGCATTCTACATGACACTGTTAGGAAAGGGAAGCTATGAAGCTTATTAAGTCACTGAAAGAAAAGAAAAGCAGTCTTTATCTGAAAATAAAAAAATAATCTACTAGCAAAGCAAATCTCTCTCCAGGGTAACTTTTCCCATGCCTCCTCGTAAAATAATGCTCACCAGAATAAACAAAATAATAGAAAATTAGAACAAAAACCCCAAGAGCACCTCAAATTTAAGAACAACAGCTTTAAGACTTCAGATGAAAAATCACCAAAATGGAAGAGATGTACAAACAATTTAAACCCAAATAATTCTCTTTGCCAGAACTCAGAAACAAGTAAAAAATAATTTTAATAATAAAATTAAACAATTTTACAACAAATTTCCCTAGGGGCATAGGAAAGAGGCACCAAAAGTAATCACCTCATTTCATTTCCCCTGGGATGGCCAGAGGTAGAATGTGAGCCTGGATACAAAACTAGGTACAAAGCCTTTTGCTTCATAGATTGCTGAACCTCAATGCTGTGGGATCAAAAGAAAAGGGGAGGGGAAAAAAAAATAGCCTTTATAGCTAACTCTGGTGAAAATATGCAGAGGATGACAGGGGAGAAAAACAAAAATCTTTATAGCATACATTAAGTCTTACTTAAAATAATAATAATAAAAGGGTGTGCATGAATATAAAATATTAAATATAGGGAAGTTTAACAAATCTTATTCTTAAATTGTCAATGCAAAAGCAATTTCCTTTAAGGTTCCATAATAATGTAGTTAACTCCAACCAAAGTCAAAAACATCCCTGACTCTTTAAGTCTCCCATATTTGAAACTAGACAAAAAGTTGACCAACTCTGTACCGTAGCTCATGGACATCAACTCAGACACTCTTTAAACTTGATTTTATGAATTGAAAGTTTACATTAGATTTATTACTGCAGACATTGTATCATGAAACCAACACCTTGATTTTTTTTGACTGAAATACTTCAAAGTTGTTGTTCTTGTCAATTTCTATCAATCAAATACCACAAAGAAAGCAAAATACACACACGTCTTAGGATAACACAGGACTTAAACATTCCAAGTGATATTTAGCATCCCAAGCTCCAGATGTAAATCAATCCCACACAGCTTCTGAAATTTTGACAGTATTTAAAGGAAATGAATGATTTCAGGAGCTGTCTGATCATACACCAAAAAATCACACATTTTTCCACCTGCTAACTTGGAATGAAAAGAAATATTATTACAGAAGGACTCTGTTCTTGATTTTCAGTAGTCCATGCTGGCTAGGGTCATCTTAATTATATATTTTCCAAATCCAGACATTTAAGGTCCAAGTATAAGAGTTGGATTTTCCTCATTATACAAAAATAAATGATTTAACTCTTCTCAGGGTGAGAATAGTGACTCTTTGAGTGTAGGATAAGTATCCATACCTCAAAACCCAAAATTAAAAATTCCAAGATTAATCTCATTTTTTTAAAAGACCTGAAAGATTGCATTTTAAAACAGTTACCCTAAAACTTTGAATAATTGTTTCAGTTTTGTTTTTAAAATGGTGGTCCTAAATTAAAAAATAAAGACTAAGTAACATCACGATGTGTCTGTCATTACACTAGAAAACTGCACCGTTTAAAATCTGTGGCAAATGAAAAACTGTTTCAACAAGAGGGTTTTTGTTTTAATAGTCATCTATGGTATTCTCGAGGAACACGTTTCGAACATCCAGAATGGCTGCTAATTCCAAAATGTGCTTCTGGAGATGAGGGTTCTCCACTGTTTCATCCCTTGGCAGCTGTGGATATGTTTCTGGATAATTTCTTGTTTCCTGGTTGGTAAAGAAGAGAAATGTTATGTTTTATACTCTAATAAAAGAAAATTATAGCCAACATTAACACACATAGTATTAAAGAGTATCTTAACATACACTTTTGTCCTTCATATTGGTATGGTTCTTACTGGTAATATATCTGTTGCTGAAATTGCTAATGTTTGGCTACTTAGACCTTAGACAATGACAATTTCATAGGATTCAACCAAATATGTTCATTTGGTGAGTAATTCCACAAGTATTTACTGAGGAACAATGCTATTCATGTGGAAACCATAAAATTCGTGCCTGCTGAGCAAAAAATTCTGCACATACAGATTTTTAACAAATATTTCTTAAATAAATGAATAAATAGATGCTGCAGAGGAAATTAAAATGAAACACATGAGAAGCACTGAAGAGATCAAATTAATGGACACTGGCAATTAATTATAGAAGAAGGAAAATGACTGTAGGATTTCAGGAATGGATAGCTGACAGCAGAGTGGAGAGCTACTGGGAGAAAAAAGGAAGGTAAAGTGGAAATTATTTGGGGATATTTCAAAATTAAGAGTTATAGCTCACAAAGACATACTTGTGTAACAAATGAAGCATCAATATAATCTGCATAGAGATAAAAATTGAAAGCAGGAAAGTAAGTGAGATTTTAAGGGTATCAGCAGAGACTGATAAACAGTTGAGGGGGACACTTAAACACACACACACACACACACACACAAAAGACCTACACAAAGAAAACTATGAAACACTACTTCAAGAAACCGCAAAAGAGCTAAATAGATGGAAAGACATACAATGCTCGTGGATAATTAGATTGAACATTGTGAAAATGTCAATTCTACCCAAAGCAATCTATACATTCAATGCAATCCCAATCCAGATCCCATCAACATTCTTTAAGGATATGGAAAAACCAATCACTTTTATATGGAAAGGAAAGAGACTCCGGAGATGCAAAGCACTATTGAAGAAGCAGAACAAAGTAGGAGGTCTCACACAGCCAGATCTCAAAACCCACTATACAGCCACAGAAGTCAAAACTGCCTGATATTGGTACAATGACATACACACAGACCAATGGAATAGAATTGGGAACCCAGAAATAGATCCATCGACCTATGGTCAGTTGATCTTTGACAAAGGGCTGAAATCCATTAAATGGGGAAGAGAATGTTTATTTAATAAATGGTGCTGGCAAAACTGGATATCCATTTGCAGAAAAATGAAACAAGACCTATATCTCACACCATACACAAAAACTAACTCCAGATGGATTAAAGACTTAAATGTGAAACCTAAAACTATAGAGTTCTTCAAGGAAAAATAGGGGCAAATTTAGGGGTCCTAATATATGGCATCTTGGAAGGAAGATGAGGCAATCTACTTCCATAGTGATACTGCCTCAGAAACCCAAGGAATGGTCGCTATGAGTCAAAATCGACTCAACAGCTATGATAGTTGGAGCTGTGTGTCAACTTGGCTGGAGCACAATTCTGTGTGGTTTAAGCAACTGTGATGTGGGCTGTTCCAATGATGGGATCAGATGTATATGTTTTGAGCAGCCAATCCATTGAAAAGTCGTTTCCCTAGGGGTGTGGCCTGCTTCCAGTATATTTATGGACATCCTCGGAAAAGAGATACCCTTCTGTGGATCGGGATTCTGTTGTGCTGCCTACAACTGTCCGTGAGTGAACAATCTACCATTTGGCCTGGAGATCTTGGATTTGTCATTTGTTGGAGTCAAGCCAGTATACTGCCTGCCAACCTTGAGCTCCTCAGCCCCTGCAGCTTCATGAGTCGGGAAAAGCCTCCAGCTTGACATTTGACCCAAGAACTTTGGACTTGCCAGCTTCTATAAGTGTGTGAGCCATTTTCCTAAGATAAATTTCTCTTTCTCTCTCTATATAAGCTTTATTGATTTTATTGCTCTAGAGAACCCAGTCTAACACAATGACATATTACAACAACAACAATATAAGGCATAAATAGACTATCAAGCATAACTCAAAATACACAAACAGCAGAAAAGAAACTAGATGAATGGGACCTTCTAAAAATTAAATTTTTATGTGCTTCCAAAGACTTCTCCAAAAGAGTCAAAAGAGAACCTACAGATTGGGAAAAAATATTTGGCAATA